CTGTGATTTCTCTGGATTCCCTGAATCTTTTCACATTATTATATATGGTAGTCGGCTTTGCTTGCAAAGGCCGAGATGTTCCTTTTATACCCAAAAGACGATACCTTGACCTATTACCAATTCACCTGCTTACTGTGAGCCGGTTCAAAACAGTTTAACATGGATATTCTATAACTTTTGCACTTTTATTTAGCCTCTGTCCCACCTTTTTTGAGTGTGTTGCGTTGGTTACATTTACGTTGGTCAGTGAAAACTTCGGAAATCTTTTCTTTGTACTTCTGTCAATTAAGTAAAAGTTAACGAGAACTAACAAATCACAGATTCTTGATTTTACTGCATTTTAAAACTCAAATTATTCCAGGAGAAACCTTTTTAAAAATCTATTTCTTTAAAATAGTCTATTCTAACTTCTCTCGTCATTAGTTGTCTTTACGGTTTTATTTCTATTTGAGATTTATAGACTTATATAATATTTAATTTCATAAAAATATGGTATTTTCTGGAGTCATAAAAAGTTCCAAATAACATTAAACAAAATCCGAATGAAATGTTCTGAAGCTTCTGTTCTGATACAGATACAAAGAAGTTCATATTTAATTAGACAACACCTCTATATTTTACAAAATTTCAGAAAACTTCATTCAAAACGTGTCTTCATGTACCGTTATTAATCAACTAGGGAAGCATATGCTCAAATCTATTCATTAATATTGTCACCTGTAGTGTTGAGCCTTACATTTGCAATAGATGATCCTGACATTAACTGAAAATGAAGTGCATATTTTTATCTCATGTAAATCATAAAATCGTCCATGTGAATAACCAGATTGAGGATAAAAGTGGTGCATTCATTACATAGACATTGCTTAGTCCCTTTTTGACTGCATTTTTGCCCAATCTCAGATTAATTTCTGAACCCTTTTTGTGCAACCACCAAAATCCACATAGCATATGATATAGGATGCACCCTGAATCCAAAAAAAGGGACAAGGAATCTCGGACTGCACACTGATCATGTCTGACCTAAATTAGAGGGGCTGCACGTGACACCTCCAAGACCACGTTTAACCCTATTGAAAACAGCATGATACAGCTTAACAATACAGCAGGGAGAACAAACAGCCATACTCAATGCGATCAGGGCACTGTCCTGACAAGCCTGACAGGGGTTATCTCCCCGCCCACCCACGCCCTAAACATGACAGGCACGCCGCTCACTGTGTCATGCAACAGCATGCAGCCGTCATGCTCCTCAACGCTTCATAATTCATAATAACCCAACACAGACGCTTGTGCTGCAGAAGCACGCTACATTTAATTTGCAATGCGTCTTTAGCGTCAACGCCGTCGTTTACCGTCCGCGGGCTGCTGGAAGTTGACATAGGCATAGCCCAGCGACCGGCGCGTGATCATGTCCCTGCACACCCGGATGGAGAGGATGGCCCCGGCCGGGCTGAACTTCTCGTACAGCATGGCTTCAGTCACGTCCTGGTGCAGGTCTCCAACATACAGCGAGGCCATGGGGTAACTGGGAGCGCTGGGGTTCATGCTCTCTCCGCCCGCAGGATGGTACGCGCTTCGCGGCGCTAGCTCAGCTACGTCCGAATAGAGCTAACGCTGGATGTCAACACGCCAGCTTTTAAACCTGAAACCCGTCGACTAACAGACAACTTCGCCTGGACGGTTACAGCGTTCCGTTTAAAAGTGACGGATATTTAGGGCAACTGAGATTTTAAAAACGCGAAAAATCCAAAACCAACGACTCGAGCAGGCCTTCGCGAGCTCACAGACGAGACTGTCGTTATTTGTCGGGGTTGTTGAGGTGTTTCAAGGCCTCCAGCTTCCACTTCACCGATTTTTAATTTTTAAAAAAAAAAAAGAAAAATAAATAAAATGATTTTTTGGAGTTTTTAAAAGTTTTTAATTTTTTTGTATTTTTTTATTTTTATATATATAATGTGTGCCGAGGCGAGCTCCGGAGCACACGCGCACTCTCTCAGCACTAACAGCCGGGGATCGGGAGAGAAGGGGCGGGGCGAGCCGCCGCCGCCGCAATGTGACGCAGCAGTAGCTCAGCGGGCTTGATGGTGATTGGATGAGACGTGTTCGAGCCCGCAGATCTGGCCAATAAGCGTTCAGAACGATGAAGCGTTGATTTTTGTAACGAATGTATAAAAGCGAAAATAAATGACTAAATATAATTTTTTTTAACGTTTATTCATTTAATTAAGAATAGGCAATTCGCTTAAATAAATATTTAATTTTATACAGTGGTGGCCAAAATGATTAGAGCGCTAGTATTTTCACCAGCTACAAAAAATGGGTGCTTCAAGAGCCCTACCTGCTCCTCATCCTCATTGTTCACTTGCTAGTTATCAGTTTTACAATTAAATTCATTAACAGCACAGACGTGTGCACTGAGGATCACCAACAGAGGGAGTCACAGACCTGGAAGAACTACTGCCTAGATTCAGACTTCCAGTGCAGACATTCTGGGCTTTTGAGCTGAACTGGATGTAGGAAGCCTTCTAATCATTTATTCATTTATGACCACAAATTAATGCAGTTAGGCTATTGGTAGTTTTTCCCCTACAACACTAGCAAAGACATATTTTCAGAACTGGGGGGAAACTAGAAGTTGTCGAAGTCATGGCAATTAAATAGCAGTTTCATTTTTCTGATTATTTTCCAGAAAAAGAGAGAAAAATTTTATTTTTATTTATTCAAATAAAATAAAACAAATACTTCAATTTGAGCTGAAATAAAAACAAAATCAAGCTAAATAGAATTGAACAAAAAACTAGTGGGAATGTCAAAAATTACAGTGAAAACGTAAAATATAAAAAATGATAGTACGCCGGGGTGTGTTGTGGCCTTCTGCTGTTTACTGCGGTGTTGTTACTGTTAACAAAAATTACTACAAATATTATGTTTAGTTATTGAAATAAAATATCACTCAGAGCTGTTATCTTGGGAAAAGGATGTTGCAATAATTGGGTGAATTAAAGATCAAAAGGATAAACAATGCAGATTTATTTTCACAGCCAGGTGCCAATATTAGTGGAGGGCACTGTGAGTGTGTGTATGTATATATATATATATACACACACACACATACATACATACTCTATTCTATACGTGTATTTTTATACAATTAAATTACTATATACAGCCACTGGATCTTTTTTATACTAAATTATTCCAGGTTTAATTAGCAATTTCTAGCCACTGAAATGTGCATTTACTAATACTTTTCATGATTTTTTTAAGTTTTACACTTTACAATAAGGTTCATTAGTTCACTACTTAAGTAAACATGAATTAAGAATGAACAATGCTTCTACAGCACTTATTCTTAGTTCATGTTAATTTCAACATTTACTGATGCATTATTAAATCAAAAGCGGTGTTTGTTAACATTAGTTAATGCACAGTGAACTAACAATGAATGACTATTTTCATTAACTAACGTTAACAAAGAAGAATACTGTAATAAATGTATTCATTGTTTGGTCATGTTAGTTAATACATTAACTAACGTTAACTAATGGAACCTTATTGTAAAGTGTTACCGATTTTCTTAATCCTCACAAGTCCTTAAGGAATTGAAATCACAATTTTAAAAATCCCTGATATTCTCAGGTTTCATTATATTATCCTTCACATTTTGACCATTGAACTACTATACACTTACTGGACCAGGATTTAAAAAAAGTTATTTCAGTTTTAAAAAGCAATTTCTAGCCAAATTTGAAATGTACAAGTAATTTTCATGACATTTGAAGATTTAATTAATTTACATAAGTTGTCAGGGACTCACAGTTCACAATTGTAAAACTGTCCAGGTCTGTTATTTTAGTGTCATTGATGTACTTTTAGTTTTCGTTTTAATTTTAGTGTATGTAGATTTATTTTTGTCTTCAACTTAAAGCCCTGGCATCTAGATTGTTTTTTTTTTTTTTATGTTGATTATAATGCTGAGTTAACATACTTTTTTTTTTTTTGGTTGTTGTTTTAGTTAACAATAACAACAGTGGTCCGAATTGGTTTAGACACGTCTTCTAATGTACATTAAAGACGGCATGTCAAAGTCAGTTTCACATCAGTTATGGCCACAGAGCCAGTTTTGTTTGAAATCACAGACGTCACATTCTCAGTTTCAGCATTTGATAACTATAAAGTTTCCCCCCCCCTTCTTAACATCTCCTTTTATGTTCCAAGAAAGGTTTGGAACGACGTAAGGGCGACTCTCATGCTTTGGGAACCGTTTCTTTAATAATTCCCCCGCAAGCACTCATCTAAATCTAAATGAACATTTGAAGTCCGGGATCTTTCTGGAACGGCCAGGTTTGAAAAACACCAGAGACCGAACGCAAGGCAAAAAGACCAAGAGATCATGTGGTTTGTGTTTTATCCGTTTTAATTCCACTAACATGAGATCCAGATCCCTCCGCCCACCCTCCATAACAAATAACAATAATGCTGAGTGTTCCGTATGAAAATTCTAAGACAGTTTCTAGGCAACCCAATCAGCCAACTCCAGTCACCCTGATTAACTAAAGCCACATGCAGTTTAGGCAAGTATCAAAAGAGTAAACAAAACAAACTAAAAACAGATCGAGTAAGTAGTAGTACAAATAAAACAAAACCGAAACTCCTAATAGAAAACCGTATATTAATCAGATAAGCACATGAAAAGCATTCCTCACTGCTCCGGTAACAAGACTTTTATATCAAAGTTACAGTATAAGCCATGTGTCAAGTCTTTTTGATCTTAGGTCTGTGGTCGACAGAGAGATTGTACGCGTTATTATTCACCAATGAGAAATCAAACACTTGACAACTGAAGTAGAATGTCTTTGCACGAGCCCAATCTGTCACAAGTATTCGTTCATACTGACTTTTGGTTTATTTCCCATGATTCTTTAGGAAAGTGAAGAATTCAGTCTAAGCCACAAGAAACCCATCACTAACTGCTCCCCTAGTAAACTCAGAAAAGGGTTCATACTCACTCTCTCGCTCACATATGCACCTACAGCAAAGTTGATGGTGACTGGCATCCCATGAGCACACATCAAGCCAGCAAACTACACTGCATTCTCCAATCCACAATGAACATGTTGAAGACAAACAACTGCCGTTTGCCTCCCAAACAAACACACGTACACAAACACAGTCTCTCCTTCACACGCTCACATCCAAACACACACATAAATGACGGGCTGGTGAGTATGAAGCTGGAACTGGAAAAGCGTCAGCGTTGTCTCTCGCTGTGCTGACTGAAAAGCTTCTTTGTGGAGTCGGCTTTAGTTTTCCCGGCCCTCCTCTGTGTCCTCACCATCGGCCTGATTGTCAGAGGTCCACAGCTGAAAACATCAAAGCGGGGGAGGTTAAAGTGTGCACATCCAGATCTGGCCACTGAAATGTCTATTTTCTTTTTTTTTAAATAAGGACCATTTAATGGGTGGAAAAGAGCATGATACATCCAGAGATTTTATCTTATTTGATAAAAACTGAGAAAACGACAGTTTTTTTAATTACTGACAGCCGTAAGAAGAATGACTGTTACATCCCAACCTTTCTTGACTTATGTTTGAGCTCTTTATAATCAGGATCGCCTTCTGTAGGTAATATTGCATTTTCCATATTTACTTGACTTTGCATTAAAACTAGCAAAACGTGGCAAAAAAAAAAGCTACATCTGTTTGTAATTTGCATTTCTGTCGTTTTTTTTTTCAGTGTCTTACGTCATGAGCTTTGTATTTTAAAGTAACAGTGCTCATGAAATGCATTTTCAGATCTGTATATTCAATATAAATTGTCTAGAGGTTAGATCTAATACTTGTAAATTATAAATATACTTCATTTCAAGTAGGGCTGGACGATATCGCCAAAATTTATATCACGATATATTTCTTAATTTCGGTCGATACGATACAATTCCGATATCGATATGAAACCTACTCCTATAAAACGATATAATATTTTAGGAAACAAATGGCGTAAATAAATGTTCACCTTTTATTGGTATTTAGCCTTCATACAAACAAGAAATCATTCATATAAAACACCCCCGCCGTGTTATGATTTTGAAACGTGCAGTGCTCGCCACTGAAACGCCACAAATCAATGTATGGGAAACACTGGTAATGTATATCGAAATATCGGAAATGTGTTAAAAAATCATATCACCGTTATTGGAAAAAATTACATCGCGATACATATTGATACTGAATTATTGTCCAGCCCTAATTTCAAGGTGCGTTACCTCTTTCAGAAACACAAGTAAACGCTGTGATGGGTAAACATCATGCGTTTCAGAAGGGCGGAAAACTAAAAAAAAAAGTTAGCTCTGAGGTATGAAACTCTAATCACTTGTTTGTGTAAATATCAAGGCCATTTTGATTTTTCATTTCATTGCCTATTTAAAAGTAGTTTAAATGTGAAAAACATGTATCCAAACCCCTGCTTTCCACTCAATCAAACACTATCCAACAGATTTTGAACAAGCGCATGAATGCCTACGAACATTTACGGATTTTAACATTTGAATACCTCCTATAGTTTGTAAGGGAATCAAATAAACTTGCTGTATTCCACTAAAGACCTTTCCAATGACTGTCCAATCTTTACACGACTCCCATTATGATTCTGACGATATTTTAGTGATTGTTTTTTAAATAGGAAAGAGTTAAAGCGCTAGTAAAATCAGTTGCTTGTATGATTATCGGCAGTGAAATTCTCAGCTGTTTACAAGAACTCACTGTCAGATTGTCTCGAAGTAGCTGCATGATGAGTGTGCTGTCTTTATACGAGTCTTCGGTTAACTGGTCCAGCTCAGCAATGGCATCATCAAAAGCCTACAAGGGAACAAATACATGGATAAATAAATAATACCAAGCTTAATTTGGTGTATGAGCTTTGAGCCCCATGAGCACCCATTCTAACCTTCTTGGCAAGTTCACAGGCCTGCTCTGGAGAGTTCAGGATCTCGTAGTAAAAGACTGAAAAGTTGAGAGCCAGGCCCAGGCGGATGGGATGAGTGGGCTGCATGTTGTCTTTGCTGATGTCAAAGGCGGCCTGGTACCCTTCCTGAGACTTCTGGATGATATCTGTGTACAAACACACCACATTATTTATGATAGAATCATTACATACTTTCCCACAGAATAGCACAGATTAAGGCTGACAATATATACTACCGTTAAAAGGCTTGGGGTCAGCAAGCTGTTGTTGTTGAAAGAAATTAATACTTTTATTCAGAAAGGATGCATAAAATTGGTCAATAGAGACAGTAAAGACTTCGGTTTCAAATAAATTGATCCTTTGAACTTTCTATTCATCAAAGAACCCTATAAAATAAAACAAAAATTAATGTATCCCAGTTTTCACAAAAATATGAAACAACTGTTTTCAACATTGGTAGTAATTATACTTTTTTTCTTGAGCAGTAAATCAGCATATTAGAATGATTTCTGAAGGATCATGTGACACTGAAGTAATGATGCTGAAAATTCAGCTTTGCATTACAAAAATAAATTACATTTTAAAATATATTTAGATAGAAAAGTTATTTTAAATAGATATAATATTTCACAATTTTACTGTTTTTGTTGTATTTTTGATCAAATAAATGCAGCCCTGGTAAGCATCAGACACTTTCAAGAAGATTGAAAAAAAATAATAATAAAATCTTACCGACCCCAATCTTTCGAATAGTTGAGCACATAAAACATTTACAATATTTTATTGAGGATTTGCAACCCATAAAATATTAAATTCAAGGAATCTGATCTTAATGTGCTTTTATATGGCCAGTTAAGTGTCCTAAAGCCTTCACACCCCTCCCTGCCTTGTGTATGACCAATTCAGCATTTTGTTTGAGTCACTCAAGTTTTGCGAGGCGTGTTACATAAATGAAGAAATATTGCACCTCACGACTATTTTGAGAAAACTGCATGTGGAAAATATGCATTTACTTGAACTAGATTTTTATGCTTTTAAATCCGACATTAAACACTTTAAATGTATGCCTTATGATGGTTACTGCAGTGGAAAAAATGAAAAACATCTTCAAAGCCATTTCAAAACATGCATTTTACGTTTTTTTCTTCTGCACATGGCTGAAATGAGATATCATTTTCTTTGTACTTTGGAGAGCTGTTAGTAATGGTCAATATCATGGTGCATCAAGAGCATTGATCCGTGCTCAGAGAGAAACACATAAATATTTGAAAAAGACAGCAGCTCTGTAAAGAGCTTTGATGAGAGCACTGTGCCTGACGAGAGTAATTGTTCATCTGAAGAGCTTCAGGAGTGCTGCATATATTACAGCCACCCGCAGGCGCTTCAGCCCAAACTCAGCAGGACGACACGCATCATCCAGATGCTGTTGCCATGGCGATGATCACGCAGCCCATCACACTGACAGTACAGTAGTAGGTCAGCGGCTGCTTATCGTTTTCGTTTCCCCTTCGACGAAACCTGCAGCTTATCTATAATACTACACAAACAGACTGATCTGGGATCTGCGGCAGATGGCCGCTTCAGTCAGATCATTCGCTCCAGTGCTGCCATAGAAACACACCAGGCACTTAAAAATTCATCAAACCCTGCAGGGAGAAGCAGCAGCCCTAATAACCTCATGCATCTATCGGAAAGAGTGAGTTATTACTTCCACAGACGGACTAAGACCACATGTGGAGGGAAATCACTCATTAGCCTCATTAATGAAACCAAGCGAGGTGGAGCAGGACAGACTGAACTGCGTGCTGCAGTGCTCCATCTGCAGCAGAGATGTCTACTTGTGATGAGACAAAGACTGGATGGTGGAAAATAAAACCACAACATTCGCATTGTGCTCACTGGAAGCACACAAAACACAACCAAACAGGGCTGGGCCATTTTTCCGATTTTATCGATTCATTCAAATGTAATGTTTTGCCACGATTTTATTATTTATAAATCGAGGAATCACGATTTCGAATAGAAATATTGCCAGACGTTAGAATTAGACACTTTGACAATATGCCAATGCTACTGTCCAATGATCCAACCGCTCAAGTGTGACGCGCTCGTATCACACAGAATGTGCTTTTGTGTTGACAAAGATGCCAAAGATGGGAGTGAACTTCTTTAAACTTGAGCGGCATGTTTTTAGAATGCTGTTTCATGCATGAGACGCTGCAAGAGACAAACCATGTTTACAATATGTAAAAGCAGCGCAATCGAATTAAAAAAACCTGTAAAAAACTACTACTGTATGTCTGACAATGCTGTTCATTGTGTTTACAGAATATTTGAAGTTAATCATAGTCTATTGGTGTTATACCTTCAGTATTACCTTGACATTTGAGAATCTTTTAAAGCATTTTCCTCGTATTATTTCTGAACATAAAAAATACATATTAGACAAGTTCGTACAAGATGTAGCTGTAGTTCATGCATCTTTTCTGCAAAGTTATTTAACAAGTGATTTGTTCAACATTCACATGTTGACACCGTGTGGTGCACTTGGAATAGAATTTTCTTTAACTAGAGGGTTAATTAAGAAAAAGTTACTTGAATCATTACATTTTCAAGTTGAATAATAATAATAATAATAAAAAAAAAAGAGATTTAATTTTTTTGCCATATCGCCCAGCCCTACAACCAAATCATTTGATTGGCTTGGTTCTTTGTAATAAAGCAGAGATATGAGCTACGGTGAGGATATTACATGCGGGCATGAAACCGGAACACTGGACGTCCTTAAATTAATCTGCAAGCTGCTTGTGTCTCAAGAGCTTCATGAACTAGGACACAAGCCCTTCAGAGCTAAACCTCCATCCTCATCTCCAGATATATAATTAATGTAAACTCTGAGTCGGTGGCTACTTCATGAGATTTCTAACTCTATTAAGAGGGTTAATTGATTGACCTCTTGAGTTCAGAAGTGCCAAACACAGTCAGGTGGTGCTTTTAGGAAACTCTTGCTCTTTTCCAAACCCTAGCACTGCTGCTCGCTATTCTAATAGGTGCACAAAGATAAAGAGCATTTTTAATAAGATGGAGCTATATTCAATCAATTCTTTGAAGGACTTGATAAAGTATTTATGAAGGAGATTTCCCCTGATGCTTATGGCAATGCATTCTGAGTTTGTCTTCTCCATAAGATGCTGCCATATGTTGGCTGAAACGAGGTGGTGTGTTTAAGGCAGCATCATTCTGCCGCATACTGTTTGGATCAGTGTTTGTGTTGGCGTGCGTGAGATGCTTCTAGGTAGGCAGCAAGAGCGTTTGGAGCAGGGCCAGTATACTAGTTCAAGGACAAACAAATGAGTAAAACAACATTAAAAATCACCACAAGAGTTATATTTGCAGTTATGTAAGATTATTCATGTGGACATTATTGCTCTGTTCCAAAACCTAGTGGGCTGTCAATCTGCCCAGCATTTCAAGCATTACTGGCATGCTTTTTAAAATATGCATTAACATGATGCTCATTTAGCCAAATTCTGAGACATAAACGGTAAAAAATTTGACAGTTAATTATATGCATTTGATTCGACACTGAAAAGTATTGAGTATTTTACACAATACTGTGTGCCATGTATTTTTTGCTGAATTGTTTATGCTTGGAAATGTAAGACTATGTTTTGCGGATGTACTTTTGACTTAAAGTAATAATAATAATACACTATTATTAAGTATCATTAAATCTTTTTTAATGCATATCACAATTTTTCTCCTCCACTTTAATTTTAACAGTAAACCTCTGTTGTGCTGCACCTTTTTGGCAAAAAATAAAAAGAACTGTTAAATTTTCAAATATTTATTAAAGGGGTCATATGATGCTGCTAAAAAAAGAACATTATTTTGTGTATTTGGTGTAATGAAATGTGTTTATGCGGTTTAAAGTAAAAAAAAAAAAAAACATTTTCCACATACTGTACATTATTGTTTCTCCTCTATGCCCCGCCTTTCTGAAACGCATTGATTTTTACAAAGCTCATCAGTCTGAAAAAGTGAGGTGTGCTGTGATTGGCCAGCTATCCAGTGCGTTGTGATTGGCCGAATACCTCAAGTGTGTGAAGGAAATGTTACGCCCCTCACATACTGTTGATGCCGTGTCTGGCCGGAGCGACGAGACAAAACCATTAAAACCCATTATAAACGAGGTATTTGTTGCATCCAGTGGGGACATAATTAATGATTATAATGACTTGTACTGTCTTTTTATGCATTGCATCGCGTAAACATAAAACTGTCTGCATTTGTGATCAGAGAAATGACAAACAAAACAAGTGCTACTCTACACTGCCCAAAACTCGTGTTTGAATCATCAGTGGCAAATCATTTAAATCAGGGGTGTCAAACTCATTTAAGGTTGAGGGCCGGATCGGAGAAAATGTCCCCTTGTGTGGCCAGTAGATGGCAGCAAGTCTCCGTCTTAATGAGTGATCCATTGACTCATTCATTCAAAACGGCTGATTTGTTTAGAAACTAAGCTAGTGATTGTCTTTATGAATGGGCCACTGAATCATTGACTCAAATAATTTGTTCAAAAACAGATTAATTCAGTAACAAAATACACAGTGCTGCCTCGGAGACACACAATTGTTCTTACTTCGGCTTTGTTAAAAACTTTTTCTTGCCAAAACAGATAAACAGACTTGTGACTAATATAACACACTTAATACTAGCGTCTTGTTTGTTGAGCTGTTATATAAAATCAATTCATTTGCGATCGCGCTGACATTCGGGAAAGCAACACTCTTGATATACTGGTAGTTAGACAGTGCTTAACTATCACGACATAAATATTAAAAACTAAATTTCTTACAGGGCATTTTATTTTTGCCCCCATATATTGAAATATATTGTAAACAGATAGCCTTCATCCGGCACTGAAAAACTCTCATGATGTGTTTGTTTGTTTTTTTGCAAAGTTACAAAATGTCAACTCGCACATCATTAAAACAAGTTAGGATATTAGTACACAATAAATATCGCACACTCCTCGCTCATTTACTTTCTCCATGTGAAGCTGTCCAGTGCGTCACAGTGTCGTTTAATATTGCACACATTTACCACAGCCACGAGTTGTGATTAAACATACCTGTCGGCGTTGAGATTAGCTACTTTCTTTCCATTTCTCCTTAAATAGCCTGTCCGCCCTTCCAGGT